CACTCTAACTATCTTGCAATTTTGTTTGTTAATTACACCTCAGTAAAGCCAAGAAATGATTTTAAAAGAATGAAGCGCATATATCTTGCAACCTTATTAAATCTTCACAGGACATAAATCAGTACCTGAAGTGAATTCAGGGAACAATGAAGATGAACCACGTGTCCATAATAAAATTTAGTTTAAAAAATAAGATGAACTTGACATCTATGGGATAAGAGAGACACAAAGAGAAAATATCTCTTTATCAAGACATGAGGTGTCGCCCTCACTGGTGTAGCTCAGTGGATTGAGCACGGGTCTGTGAAGCAAAGGGTCGCTGGTTCGATTCCCAGTCAGGGCACCCGCTAGGTCCCCCGTAGCGGACACATGAGCAGCAACCACACATTGATGTTTCTCTCCCACTCTTTCTCCTTCCCCTCCCCTCTTTCTAAAAATAAATAAATAAAATATTTTTAAAAAACACATGAGGTGTCTGTTTAAACCTAAGTTGGATGTGAGTCGGTAGGGTGAGGAGTTCAAAAACAATCAACTCCATGTCAATCTGCAATGCTAGAAGTACAAAGCTCAGAGAAAGAGAGGTCACGTGTCCTCCTCTGTCATTGAATAAGCCAGTCATGGGACGCTCCACTCCACTGTCAGTGTGGCCTTGAAGAGAGACATTGAGAAATGGGTGCATGTCTGGAGGTCCAAGCCCAAGACGACAGGAGGACCTGGGGTCAAGGCATTTGTGGAAAAGCTTATTAGACCTGCGTCCGCCTGGTCCGGGAAAGACAGAGCTGCTTTTAAATAATTAAGCGATGTCCCTGTGGACACAGGATTAAACTTACCCTAGGAGGCCTCTAAACACTAAAATCAATTAGTGCTATATAATCATTGGCTATGGTGACCCAGATGACACCTTTGTTTTACTGTGTACCCTTACAGCACAAAACCAAAAAAAAATCCTACAATTAAATATCAGAGACCCGGCGTTCTAACAGTTGATCTGCCCATCCCCATGTTTGAGGACACCATCCATCTATATTGTTTCTTCCCCGAGTCCCAGAACCTCAAACACCAGCCTTTACATCACTACCCATCAAAGCCAAATTTCCCCCCTTCTCTACTACATCCTGAGTCTTGCTTTCAGAATGTTTCAGAATTTGTTTCCCTAAAGAAAAGGGGCTTCTAGCCAGACTTCCAGCTGAACCATGCAAAGAACCATCTGAAAATCTACATTTTTGAGTTTTCACGTAGGACTCCACAAATGTCCAATTGAATTCTTAGAAGGGGGCTCTTCTCCATCACTGTTGTTCTAGAAGCCAGAGAGTAGGCAGGAAGTAGGAGACATTCTCCTTGTACCCAGAGCAACCCCAGGCAGGCGCAGCCATAGTTATTCTTGTTCATTAGGAAGAGGTTTCTAATATTTGGGGCTAGTGACAAAGCAATGGTCTGATTCTTGAGATCCTGAACACCGCCCCCCGCCTGTATTTACTCTACCTACTTAGTATGTTGGGGGCCTTTATTTGGTACAAGGTCAAATGAAAACCCCATCCAACTCCAGAAGTGAATGGTTCTGTTATCCCTGAGTCATGCACTATGAACATCCCTCTGTGGAACAAAAACTAGGTATAACATAGAAGAGGAAAAAAGAAGATGTAAAACAAATTAAGTCTATGTGGCTCATTCTGTCCAACTGACATTTTATTAATGAGTAATATAAGAACAGCGTGCTTTGTTCATTTCTACTCAGTCCAAAGAAACTGTATTTTAATGAGGACTGCCTCATTTACTTCTTTATAATCTTCTGCTAATCCTTTACTTTGGGTTACTGGCATGTCTCTCAGAGCACAACTCCAATTTTTGAGTCCCAGTCCTTCAGCCCAATTCAAATCTTTAAAAACCTTTTCCTCTCAGCGGTTTCTGATTCTAAGTAATCTCTCTCTAATTCTCAAATTAATCCTCATTAGCAGGAGACTCCTCTTTGGGGCAACCAAGGCCCCATTCCTAAGCACAACGGTCCATTGAAGTAGGGTGAGCTGTCACGGGAGGCTTCATTAAAGACTTTCCCGCGATCTCCAAGGCTGCCTTTCGGAACTGAGTTGAAATGAGTTGAAATGGGCCTACCACACAGCTGACACATGACTCCTACCTCAATAATGGACCTCTCCACAATCAGTTTCACTGGCAGGAATCACTGGCAACCCTCATAATGGCCAAAAATAATCAAATGTGGCATTACCTGCCAACGCACCTTCCACATTCCTCAGGAACATGATATGATGGCTCTAGACCTGGCCCACTTGGCATTGGCATTGGCAAACTCAAGCCATGTGCCTCATCACACCTCCCCTCTCCATCCGTGTTTAGATAACTGTTACCCACAAGGCTTTTCATTGCAGTCTATGACCATGGTGGGTTTGAAATGAACACCATCTGTGTTGTTCTCCAGTCTCTCTGAAATCACGGCATGGCTGATGCCCACACCATGACACAGCCTCTCCCACAGGCCTGCAGGTAGGACAGCCACAGTAAATGGTGGCCCAGGTGTTCACATCTGGCCATTGCTGTTGAAGGTGCTAGCCCGGGGAAGGCAGAGTGAAGTGGGGGGAAGATAGAGTCCTCCTGCAAGTTAATAGGAAGGTGCCCAAGTGCCCCCCAGAGCCCTACAGTCTTATCCCATTCCACACCACCCTGCAGGTCCCCCCAATTTGCTAGTCTTGTGCTTTCTGATGCTTCCAAAATTAAAGAGCACACCCCCCCCTCACTGAACCTGTACAATGACTCCCAGTCCATCGCTGTCAGTACGAGGTGTGCCTACACTGTCCCGATACTTTCCTGCATTATAACACATACTCACAATAATCAGACTATGTGGGGACTGTGCTCCCCTTTAAAGCACAAGGAAAAATAAGGCTCAGACGGGTTGCCGGGGACAAGATTGCTCATAAGTGACAGAGACAGGACTCTAACCAGGTTGGTCCTGGCCTGAATCTCCCTCAAATTCCCGCTGCGTCTCCGGGTCTCCTCTTTGAAGCATCGTGACGTTCGAGGTAGCATCTCATCACGCGTCATCGTCCCGGGACTCTTGGAAAGCACGGAGGGGAGGAGAGGAAAGGGCCCGAGGGCTGTGCGGCTCCATCACAACCTCCCCGCTGTGCACAGCCCTTCCAGCTGAGGAGTCGCTGTTGATTTGCAGTGGAAAACAATGGCATTTCCATTGTTACTGCTTCTTCGTGTTACTGAGCTCCGGGCATTGCATAACACAGCTGCAGGACCGAGAGCAGTTTTTCAGGAATACCGTGAGTGCTGGCAAGTCTCCCGTGAGAGAAGCATCCGCATGCACTTCGGGAAGCAACCTGAGCTTTTTTTAAGGGTTGGCTCTACGTACTCGGGAATTAAAGCTTTACAACATTTACGACAGTGGAACCAGTCATCCGGCTTCCGGAAATTTGCCACAAGGAAATAATCAGACTCGAGGACAAGCCCGAGGCCGCGGTGGCATTCTGAACGGTGACAGAGTGGCAAAGAGGAGTGGGCGTCGCGACTAACTTATGCGACTAACTGTCACACAACCTTTAAATATTGTGCTCACAATGACTTTTAAATGATCTTTTGATTTTAAAATTAAAGGTGAAATTGCAGACCGTGAATGCCTTAAACTGATGCACAAGAATAGTGAATATAAACTGTAATTGAAAAATAAAGTTTCTTCAAAAATTGCACACTATAGAACTTTGGCATTTTTTAAAAAATAGGATAAAACACCAAAGTCAAACATGGTAGGATTGAAGAACGAAAATGACAGAAAATAAATTAAATAAATTTTACCTTCTAGAGAGGGCAAAAAACATGGGATTCTATAGTGCATGGAAAATATGCTGAAAAGTGCTCACAAACAATTTATGCACCAAGTCAGTCTTAGAGGGTGGAGAACTTTTAACTCCCTCCTGACCTAACTCAAGACTCAGCGCAAGGGGGACATTCTAAAGTGTTACTTACAGCTTGACTCCCTAGTCCACTAGGATTGATTGTAGTCGGGGTTTACGGCAGTCCATTAGCAAAACGTGTTTCTGAGTACGTGTTCTCTGGTAATTAGCACTCTGCATTGGGCCTAACACTTCTCCCTGCACTGGGGGCCCTAAAACGTGGGCCCCATCAATCCTCACCCTGAACCCAGCAATTAAAATTCTGTTGTCATCAGCCAAAGTCTGGCGCCTCCAGAATCCCATCATTGGAGCATCGGCATCCAAGGAAAAGAAAGTATCCCTGAAAGTAGGAGACTGTTCTCAGTGGCGTGGGCCCAGCTCCCACTCAGAGATGCACAGGACCCACACCCACAGATAGGTTCTCCCGTGGGGAATCAGGCCTGCAATGTGCCTGGGCCACTTTGAGTCTTGCTTTTTGTTAAAAACTCCCTCATTTGCCACAAATCCTCCCTGAATTTGTGGCAAACATTTACTACAAAATAACTTCCTAAAATCCATGCTAACATTCCTGGGACCAGTGTAATTGGTCCAACCAATTTTCCCTTTTCATTTGCAAATATCCCTCTTCTGTGATGTGATTAGCAGCATTGGCTCCTTTGGTTGCCGTTAAAGGTAATCTCCTAAAGCAACCTGTGCATAGTAAATGAGGACCATCATATAATGTGCGGAGAAACCCAATAAAGGCAGGTCACGGCAAGGGCAGTGGCTTTTGCTTCCCTTAAGAGAAAAACCATGCTGGCCCTTTTCCTCCACCGGACTCGGTCGTCCGTGTGAATGTCTCGTCTCATCCCTAATGATGCGGACACTGCGGGCCGGTGTCCACATCACCTAAAGTTATCAGTTGGAATTCTCAATGCCCCCCAAAATACAACAAATCTTGAAGGAGAACTATATCAGTTACCTGTTGCCACAATATTAGTATTAATAAATTACTCCCCCCTCAAACCCCAAATCAGCCTCCATTTAGTTCACAAGCCTGTGCAGAAGCAAGTTAGACCAGATGGGCCTACCGGGGGTGGGTAGACTCACCTGCGCGTCCAGGTGGGCTGGCCTACCCGTCCCCTCCACACGCCTCCCCCAGCACAGGACGAGCAGCGCTACATTGTGTGCCTAAAGCTCTATCAGGTTGTATGTCCCCTGTAATCAAACACATTGAAAAAGTAAATTAATTTTTAACAAAAGCAGAAGCAACAGTGTACGTGCACTTTTCCACACGCCTACCCACATCAAACCTGCAAATGGTCTGGCTGAACTCAGAAACATCTCTGGGATGGGAGGAATGACCTGGTCACAGAGCAAAGGTCATGGGTCAAAGGAGGGGTCATGAACCGAGGCCACCAATGCCGTCAGTCTACCCTAAGGGGCATTGAGCTTCCTGCCGTACCCAGTGGGTCTGCAGTCCTGCAAGAAGCGTCCATCAGTGTCACGGCGGCTCACAGCCGCCCCAGCACGAACTCACGTCTTGGAAAAACCTGAAGTCGCAGTAAAATTAACCAAAAGAAATTATAAAACAAAAACATTGTCCCTCTTATCACCATAAAGCTTTATTCCGTGCTCTGACTAATGGACCCCAAAAACATACATCTGAGGCCTGACCCCCGGAGTCTGCAAAGGCAACCCCATTTGGAAAAAGGGTCCTTGCAGATGTAATTAAGGGTCTTGAGGGGAGATCATCCAGAGGTTGGGTGAACCCTAAATCAGACAAGTGTTCTTATAAGAAAAGAGGACACAGATGTGGGACAAAGGCCATGAGAAGGCAGAGGCAGGGGCAGAGATGGGGTCCACGCTTCTGTGAACCCAGAAAGACCCGAGAGACAGGGAGGGCACCCCCCTCAGAGCCCCCAGAAGCAGCACGCCCAGCGAACACCCTGGTTTCAGACTTCCGCCTCCAGAACTGGGAAAGAACACATTCCAGTGGTTTCCAGCTGCCCAGTCTGTAGAAATTTGCTAGAACGGTCTTAGAAACTGACGTGCTGTATTTGGACATGATCAAGACCTACTCAAGCAGAGAACAACAACGGAAGGGTCCCCGGACTTGAGCCGTCAGCCTCTGATGGAGCAGATAGCTCCTCTGTCCTAACGGAATGCCCTGCTGTACCATCCGCCCAGACCCTCCACTCAGGGGATATCCCAGCTGGAAGTCAAGCCTCTGCACCCCCAAAAAACAACATAAAAACATCTTGTCATTATGACTTGTCATTCATACTATCATTGCTTCCACTTTCTGAGCTAACACAAAAATACTTATTGTGAAATTGCTTCTTTATTCCCCTACTATATCTTAAACCCCCAAAAGTTGGGGTTTTGAGGTTTAAAAATGTGAGCAGTTGAAGGTGGTATGTATATGTATGAATGTACACATGTGTATGTTCACGCATTTGTGGCACTGTCGTGCAGCCAATGTACGGTTCCTGAGAGTGTGCCTGTCGGGAAGCGACAGCTGTGTAATGACTCGCCCCAGAACTCAGTGACTGGCCTCAAACACTCACGGTCTCACACTGATCGGGGACCGTGAACGCCAGAGCAGTGTAACTGAGCGGGTCTGGCTCGGATGTGCTCCCGAGGTGGACGTCAGCCAGAGGAACCCCCACCTGAAGGCGCCACATCTGCTTCCCAGATGGCCCGTGGGTGGGGCTGTCAGCAGAAGGCCTCACCCCCTCGCTGGTGATGGGCCGGAGGCCTCGGTTCCTCACCACCCGGCAGCCGGCTTGCATCGGGTTCACTGTCAGAGAGCAGAGGGTTGGGGGACAGCAGGCTCTCATAAGCTAGCCTCGGAAGTGGCATGTCATGGCTTCTACAGCCTTCTCCTGCTAGCCCTTGCCAGCTGACACCACAGAGGAAGGACACCACAGCGGCCTGGGTGCCAGGAGGAAGGGGCCACGAGGGGCCACCCTGGAGGGCGGATACCCCAGTTCGTCTTCCTAAAAGTAGCTGCCGACTTTCACATCCCTTTTTCCAGTCCATGGAAAGTTCCACTTCATGATTGTCCTCATTCCCTCCTTCAAAGAGCTGAGTATATCTTTTCAGATTCTTGAGATTTTTAAAAAAGTGAAAATGAGGATAATTATAATATTATTCTTTCTAGTGCCTCTGATTCTATGTGGGAAAAGAGAGACAATGATTAGAAGAAGGAAAAGCCTCAGTTTCTTGCATTATGTAACATTTCATATCAATGGACCGTGAGATGCCATTTCCTCGTCACAGAACACACAGGAAGAAATGACTTCCACTAAAGACATGAGACATGGCACCGAACTGAAATGCGTTTTAAAACCATTGGCAGGCAGACTGGCTCCAGGCCCAGAAGAACAGACCATGGTGCCCAGTTCAACGAGGGAAGAGATGATGGAAAATGAACGCCAGACACCTCCCGTGTTCAAAGCAAATGAGACACGACGGTTGAGAGGACTCTCAGAGGGTTCTTTGCTGTGGGAAAAGTTCTGGGACATCCACCTGGCTCTCGAAAGCAAATCATGCCCCTCAAAACACGGCCATGTAAGTCACCATTGCCCAAGGCAACAAACAGAGCCGTAAACTCTTCCCCCACCATGAGAGTTATCGCGGCGTTTGGCACGACAGTTTCACACGTGGCCCTGTAATTTTAGGTGATTTCACTCCTTTCTGCAATCATTTCTTCGCAAATGCAAACATAAAAGAAAGAAATTCTCTTCGATGTGCATACTCAACCACAACTTTTTTTTTTACCCCAAATACATCACTACGAAGTAATAGGTAACATCTGTTGCCATGGACTATTTTCATGACTTGTGTGGTACCTGAAAATTTATCACAACTGAAAAAAGGGCACATTCACTTTATTTTTGTTCAGAGAGGGATGCCAAGAATTCCGTGACAGCATCTGTGACTGTCACTAATCACAAAGTCACTTCGCAGAAATATGGTCCAGTCACATGCAGTTGATACAATGGAAATGACAGCTAAACATAAAATGCTCATTTGTTTTTCTTTACAAGTCTCCAGGCCAACTGGATGGCTGCAGAGACACTGGAAATCTTGGCTGGTCCGAAGCAACATTTAAAAAGGAAATTTTTGAAAAGCAAAACCAAACGAAAAGCAGAAACCGGTCCTCGCCTGTGGACATGGTGGGAAGTCAGGGCCTCTCTCCAAGATCAACGGGGGTCCCTGAAACAGTGCCCACCTGCAGTGGGAGACACCACACCGTGCCTCTGCTGAAACGTGAGGTCTTCCAATTATTTCCTCATTTATCGTGACACAAAGCTCGTGTCTGTGGGCAGAGGAGAGATGGAGATCTGATTTTGGTTTTGAATTCCCCATCCAGGGTACCAACTATAAGCACTTCTAATAAGGCCACAAGTGCCTTCTGTCATTGGTACCCTCAGGACAGCTACATAAAAGAGGACATAACTGGATCCCACCAGTGATGAAGAATGAATTAGACACGGCGAATAAGTTGACAAGAGCAAAAATTCTACTAAAATCGCCTGAGATTCCAAAGTCACTTCAACACCATGGGTGGATTCCCAGGGTGTTTAGTGTTTTTCCTAAGATCAGAGTAGAGCTTTGAAGTCCCAGAGGTGTTCTCCAAATATCGTCTACGTACTTTTTTTCTCATCGGTACGTGCTGAGCACCCTCTTTGTGCCAATTTTTAGTGTGCGTGTCCCAACAGTGGACAAGACACCCGCTGTCCCCGAGAAAATGCAGACTAGGAGAGGTACCGTAGAAGGGATTCGCATTCACAGTACAGTGCAGTGTGAGATGGGAACACGAAAGAGAATCCTACCCCACAGGAACCGTCCTCAGGAAAACTTCCCATAGGAAGTTCATCTCAGAAGCTGGGACAGGACAATTCCAGGTTCAGGGACAAAGGTCTGGGGGCAAGAGACACCTTGATGTGCTAGGAGAATGGTAAGCAGTTCTGTATAAAAGGAAGTCGAGAGAGGATGGATGTCCAGAAATGAACGGCATCCAAACCAAGCAAGATACGAATGAAGAGTCTACTCAAGCGATAAAAAGATTTGTTGAATCTAACTGTGCAGCAAAGAGGTTAGCTGTAACTAGATAAAGGAGTGACCAATTCTATCAATCGCGGTCATGGATGAAAGGAAGAAAGGCAGAATAAAGCAAGGATATTTATTTACCGTACAGGGGCTGGCAGAAGTAAGGCCTGCTTGAGTGTGGTGGGTAGGGTCATGATATGGGTGTAATCATTTATAGTTTTCACTTGAACATTTCACCTAAAATGTCATACGGTGTGCTTCAGTGTGATAGTGTTATGTTACAGAATTACATGTTCATGATTTTGTGATAAAGGAGTTTAGTAATAAAAGGGGGCGTTATTTGTGCCACACCATGCCCTACAAAGGGGGGGGACCAAAAAACCCCAGAATTCATTGATTAAAAATTGTGTATTTATTCTCACATGTTTAACTTCGGTCACCTTCAAAGTGCTCTCCATCTGAGACAATACACCTATTGAGATTTTTTGCCACTGCTCAAAACAGTTTTTGTACCCATTGATTCTGATGCCTTTTAGTGCTTCTGCTGTTTTTTGTTTTGCTTCTTCCACATTAGTAAAATCGTTCCCACTGAGCACTTTTTCCTCCAGGGAAACAAAAAAAAAATTGCTCAGGGGTGAGATCAAGCGAGTAGGGAGGTGAGGCACAGGGGTCATACTGTTTTTGGTCAAAAACTGCTGAACACTCAGCACAATGTGGACAGGTGTGTTCATAAATCACCCATCGTAAAGCGGACAAACGCATTGAAAGAGTCTTCAAAAAAGTTCACTGAAGCCAAACGCAGCCTCTCACAACAACTCCAGCTGGCACACAGGAGCAGACAGATTCCTAGAACACTCACCTGGTGGAGGAAGCCTGTACCACAAGGAGCTGTCCTGCAGAAGATGATTCTGGGATTTTTGGGGGGGTACCCCTTGTATGTCACACACACACACACACACACACACACACACAGAGCATGGCTTGAAAATTCCTTGGAAGAAATGCGGGCCATTCAGCATGTTTGCCTGGGGTTGGGCTGAATCACTCCGAGCCTCTACTCCCAGGATGGCTAGAGGTGGGTGACTGGTTTTGCAACCTCAAAAATGTCAGGGATAATTTTTGTGAGCATTATGAAAGTTTG